CTGTAAGTTATAATACTGTTTTGTATTTGAAATAGCTTTCCACAAGTTGATAGATTTGAGTCGTATGACATTGTTCTGTAGTTATTTCCAGTGTGTTTGGTTCTTATGCCCTTAAATATGAAATTTCTGAATAGAATGTTAAAAAAGAAAAAAGAAGGTTCCAAACTAACTTCCAATCTCGATTTATTGGTTAAGGATTTAAATGGCACTGAGCTGATATTTTCAACTAGCATGGTTTGGATGATATTTAAGTACTGGAAACCTTTAATCAATACATGGCAAGCAAAGTTTGATCAAGGCTTCTTAATGTTCTTAGTTTTATTGAGCAAAATGGTTTTCAATTGTGGAAATGGTCAAAATAGCATAGCTTGAACTTTCTCTTGTCCACGTACTGGCGGGCCGTGGACACAATTGTAGTACAAAAGTTAACCTTTCTTATGTTCAAAGGTGTGAAGGAATTGAGATGTGCAGAAATCCAATAAGCCGGAGAGATTGTTTGGGGCGTGAATCAAAACATAGTGTTTTCATTAGGACTCTTCCCTCATCATACTGACTATGCTTTCTTTTATTTTCCATGGAAGAATAATAGGATCTGTTCATTGTGTTATCTTCCATGCTTTGTGCTCTTCTATCTCTCTGTTATCTTCACTTAAATATAAATGTGTTAAGTTTCTAATTATAAAGGATCTATACTCTTTATTTTGAAGGTTTATTATTGGTTTCGTCCTTGCTACCATCCCCTGGTATATTGGTGCATTTATCATGCTATGTGCCAGGATAGACCAACGAGAGAAACCAGGATATATCGCTTGTGTAGTTGGTGTGAGTAACGCTTATTTCCTTTCATTTAAATTTTTGGAAGGATCTGTTTACACGTTATATACCTCCAAGTTTCTTATATTAGTCAAGAACTTACCTCATGGCCGTTCTAAAGTTTTGCCTCTCTGATACTTCATTTAATACCGCTCTATGTGCAGGCTATTCTTGCTACAATTGCTATCATCCTCGGTGCAACAAAGGGAGGTAATGACTGGTAATCTCAGAGGGAGGAATTGTATAGCTTGCAAGATTGATACATACACGAGTCCAGATTCTTGAAAGACTATATATGGATGTCAATCTGCTAATAAGTTATATTATACTGTTTGAACTTGTGAAAGTCAGTATGATATCTTTGATGGTTTATATTTGATGATGCTATCTATTTGTCAGTGATCCAAAGCTCCAAGTGTGAACAATTATAATCGAAATTTGTTTGGTGTAAAATTCGGAGGCCAGAGATGTTACCTCATTAAGCTTCCCTCCGATCCTAATCAAGAGGCCTTTCTTTTGAGTCAACGGGGAGGGAGATTTGAACTTGAGACGTCTTTCGTTATTGGGGAAAGAAATATCACAATATCAACAGTTTGTTGATGAGAGACTCGTATCTAAAAATATAAAGAAACCATAGAGCCTATTGATAAGCAGTGGTCGGGGTTTGGCCTTATATGTACTAACAATCTCGTCAACCGATGTACCAATGTGTAGGATTTGTAGGAGAGTTGTGTACCAGTTTATAAAAACTTTTAAAGATTATGTCTGAACTTGGAAAATGATCAAAAGTTTGGGGACATGAGCTATATGTAGTTGGCTCTACCTTAATCTTAATCTATGATGTTTCCTTCCCAACAGGAATTAACATTGCAAATTGCGAAACCTAAAGAGGGTGGCATGTTGATTTGATTGCTATAACTAACTTGGACTCGAGTACCGTTGAAAGCATTGTGTTTTTAGTTGAGTGCTATGACTAAAATCTTAAGTTTGTAGAAAGAATGACAAATGATCTTCTTATGTATGCGCATATTTTGCTCCAATTGTATGATAAAAACAATGCAAATCCTCCAGCTCTGCCTGGTTGGTTCGTGTCTATTTATAATTCCAAAGCTGTATCAATCCATCCATAGACTCATATTCTAGGTCAGTGGAAACCAGTGATCTCAAGGTCAAACCCCATAACCCCATAACAGCTTAAGTCCAGCAGTGGTGGCTGGGCTCGGGCTGGGGGGGGTTTGGGTGAAAAAGTCGTTTCCGGTAGCGCAGGCGGGCCCGGGCAGGTGGTGGACCCCAGCAGACTGGGCTAGCCCGAGGGGGAGGCGAGCCTGTGCGTGAGCTCGAGTTTTGGGCTGCAAGCGCCAATGTTAAAAAAAATTGCACGCGTGCACTACAGTTGCCGCCAACGGCTAGCAGCCACGTGGCGTCCTTTGGGCTCTTCGATTGGATTTTTTCCTCCAATCCAACGGCGACCAATTTTTGTGCAATAAAAAAATGAATGATATTTTTTTTCTTCTATAAATACCAACCAATACTCTTCACTTTTAACACCAAAGCCTCGTGCATTTTCCTCTCCTTAAACTATTATTCACTTTCTACTCAATATTTTTTTCACTTTCAAGTTCTATTTTTGTCTATCCGAAATTTGAAACTGAAAATCTTATTCGAAAATTTTATCCGATTATGAGATATGAATTTTATAATAAATATTGACAAGTACAAACCCAAAAATCTTATCCTAAAATATTGTCCAAATTAATTGTTTAGGTAAACAAATTTGTGAAAAAAACAAAAAAATGAATAGTGTTTGCCCTTTGCCATGACAACTGCTGGAAACACACATTGCTTTTTGCAAGGGCAGCCACTATTCACGTGGATAGTAGCTGCCCTAGACCCCCCCCGCCATGGCAAAGGGTTCACTGCTGGAAGTGCTCTTAGTAGTATGTGTGAGAAACCCCATCCCCTCCCTTGTATGGACTTGTGTTTCCAATCTAGACTTTGACTGCGGAGATTTTGATTCTTGCCATGGCTATGATTTTGATTGTTTTCACATGTTTGTTGAGCGTGTACTTTCCTTGACTGATTCATCATACCTAAAAAAGGTTAGTCTCAATACTGATGTTACGGACTTTGCTCGCGTTGAGGGTTGGATTTGTACTGTAGTTAGGCGTAATGTGGTTGAACTTGATCATTCCTTTATGCTGACAATGAAAAAGAATACACTTTTGTGTTGCCTAGAAGCGTTTTTAGCTGCAAAACCCTCAAGGGTCACTTTGTATTTCTGTTCCTTATGCTCCTCCTGCTTCACAGTGTTTTCCAAGTCTCAAGTCCCTCCATGTTTCAGATGCTTTTCCTTGTTTTACAAACTGTCCTCTACTTGAACATTAACGCGAGGTTTCGAAACATTGTTACTGATTATAAGATCAATGTCTCTGCGCCTGAACTGAAGACGTTGACCATAAGTAATGTGGAACACAATGTTTATATTGATGCTCCAAAACTTGAAAACCTTTATGCGCTTGCAGTTGTTGTCCCGAGTTATTCTTTGGATGCAAGATCCCTAGTCGATGCTGATATTGTGGCTTACTTTGCCAAAGATGCAATTTCGATTTTGGCAGATATTTCCAACGTTAAATATCTGTCACTCTCAGCGATTCAGATAGAGGTAATTATGCACATACTCTCAACTCTTGTTTCTTTACAATGGTAGTCTTTACTCTGCTCTTTGGTAGACAAGACTATAGAATGTTGGAGCAGGAATTGTCGTGGGGTGAGGCAAGCATGCCGGTCCAGTTCCAATCTCTTCAAAGTTGGAAAAATTGAATGAATGAAAATATATATCCGCGTCGTTTGCTGTGAGTTCCCTCTCACGTCATATTCAAAAAACTTTGGACTTTGTTTTTCTCAATCCAAAATGTCAGGCTGCGTTGGTTGCTGATTGGTTAATTTTCCAAAATCAGGGCTGCTTTGGTTCCTCATAGGTTAATTATGGATAACATTTCCAATTGGGCATGAAATCTTATCCACTCTGCCCCAAAAGAACTTTAAAAATCTCGCCTGGCTATTAAATTAGATATGAAAAAAGCTTATTATAGAATTAGTTGGGATTATTTATTTTTATGCTTACAAAAGTTCAGTTTCTCTAATGAAATGGAATAAGAAATTGTAGTAACACAATTCTTAATCCATTGAACCCAAGTATGAAAATATAGATATTTATAAAAATACCAAATCCTAGACATGTATTTATAAAAATACCCAAGCACTATTTAAACATAGAAACATACCCAAAATGGGTTTTGGGTATGTGTGTAATGATGGGTTTTGGGTATGTTTATAAATGGGTTTTGAGTGTGTGTAATGATGAGTTTTGGGTATGTTTATAAAGTGTTTTGGGTGTTTGGTATTTTTATAATTTCAGCCCCCATTTTGGGTATTTTAGTGAAACTCCCATATACCCATGAAAATAACCTATGACCAAAAAAAATATATTAGAAAAACCAAACTATAAACCTCATCACCTTCTTCGTCAAATCTTCAATTACTCACTCTTACTTCACAATGGTGAACACTTAAGTAATAAAACCTAACTAAGGGTCTGTTTGGGAGTGCTTCTAGAAGGGCCAAAAGTGCTTTCTGATAACTAAAAGCGTTTCTAATAACGTTTGATGGAAAAGTTTTGAAGTACTTATGGGTCATAGAAGCGCTTCCTAGAGAAGCACCTGCTATATGCTTCTTCAGGAAGCACTCCCAAGTGCTTTTCTAGGAAGTACTTTGATTTTTTATGAAAATTCAAGATTTTTATAATAAAAGCGCTTTTGTTAGAAACGCTTATGAGCAGAAATACTTCCTAGAGAAGAAGTCTCAAATGAGTCCTAAGTTAAAGAAGTTATGTTTACTAATGGAGGGAGTTAAATCGTGGTTTGGAAGCCTCTAAATAAGGTATCAATTGACATGATTTCAGTTTAGTTTTGAAGTTTTACGAATTTCGTGAATTGGTAATGTGGTTTTATTCCGTAAACTAGTATCAAATACGTATAAATCTTTCAATAGTTGGTGGCTTGAATACTCCGCCATATTTAAAAAAATTACTCACAACTTCATCAGAAAAGCAAATCCTAAAGCCTTACAAACATAGTGTAGTGCATTATATTTATCCAATACGATAAAAGAAACACAAATTTGAAAAATAAAAATAAAAATCATCAATCCAAAGTAAGTCATTCGCAATACAATATATCAATTAGGTTCGGTGTGTGTAGTGGAAATTTCCCTATTATTTCTCTTTTGGCAGTTTCTTTGTTCTCTTAGATTTCTCTTATGCTTGCTTTGTTCACTCTTCGAAAAGACGAAAGAACACACCCAAGCTTAAGCTGCCAAGGAAAGCAAAGAAGAAAAAACCAGCTAAGAAGAATGTCAGCGTAACACCACAAGCAGTGAGACTCTGAGAGAGTCTGAGAGAAGCGCAGGTATCGTGATTTTCAATGAAGAAAAAAGCACTGGAAACCCAAAGGGCAGAAGCGAAAACCCCAAACTACTCAATCTCTTCATCTTCAGCTTCAATTCAACCACCTGGCTCCGTATGTTCTCTTCCCTTCTATCTTTTTCTTATTTTCTCATCTGGGTTTCTCACTTCTCACCAGCCACTCTCTAGCTGCGGCTGTTCTTCTAGCGCGGCTAAAACAATTGAAAAAAAATCGAATCTTTGTTGCAGGTACGCGAGAAGCAGCGGTGATATGTGCCGACAAGACTCGCGTGTGCGAATGTCGGCGGAGGAAGAAATGGCTGCGGAGGAGAGCCTCTCTATCTATTGCAAGCCTGTTGAATTTTACAACATTCTTCAACGCCGCGTTATAAGAAATGTAGTACCTTTAAAAAAAAAAAATCCTTTCTCTATGTATATATATATATATCAGAAGAAAATCAAAATGTTTTCTTTGTTTCTGAATCTTTGGTTGCCAATTTGTAATGGGCTGTGTGCATTTTTGGTATGCAGCCTTCTTTTCTCCAAAGATGTTTGAGCTACAAAATAGAGGCCAAGCACAAAAGGAGGTAATGATAACAATAAAAATTTCAACTTCTGTATATGCATAATTCGTATATGCTAGATTTTACTGATTGGGTTGTTGTTGGCTGAACTTTAGAATACAAATGACAGTTTCCATTTCAAGGAATGAGAAGGAAGGTGTACAAACCCAGAATCTCTTTCCTTTGTACGTGTTTTTGGCCAGATTAGTTCCTGATGTTGCAGTTCCAGAGGTATTTGTATGCAAATTTTTAAGTTCTTATTTGACGATCCGTGTGTTGCTTAGTGCATCATGTTATGCCTTTGCTAATGACATTTGGCGGTTTAGTTTACGGTTTTATCTACATATATCTGATATGAGTTCTGTCTTTGAATGTATAAACAAGTATTCTGCTACATATCGATTCAGTCGAGCTTGCATGTTAAGCAATTCCACAGGGGCTGATGGGAGCAGTCAACTTCAAGCTAATTTTATTCTGCCTGACATTAATAAGCTAGCATTGGAGGCTAAATCTGGCTCACTTGCCATCTTGTTTGTCAGCTTTGGTATGCATTCGTGAAACTTTGATAATATGGAAGCAGATTTTATGTGGATCTCATTGCAATCTTTGGGCTCATATATTATCCTTGCAGTGGGAGCACAGAATCCATTTCGTGGAATCAATTTATCCAAGGGTCCTGTGGATATGGCTTCTTTTCCTTGTAAGTTAAGCCTTACTTGCTAAGCTTTGCCACATATTCGAATTTTGATTTCATTTTGACATGTTGTTTAACAGATTAAACGTTATTGGCTAACTTAAGTTAGGAGTCATAACTCTGACAAATCTGACATGTTTTTGCAATTTGGATTTCTTCACTGAACTACATAACTTTAAGTTCTACATGACATTGGCACGTAGTACCATAGAGACAATTTGTAATGGGCTGTGTGCATTTTTGGTATGCAGCCTTCTTTTCTCCAAAGATGTTTGAGCTACAAAATAGAGGCCAAGCACAAAAGGAGGTAATGATAACAATAAAAATTTCAACTTCTGTATATGCATAATTCGTATATGCTAGATTTTACTGATTGGGTTGTTGTTGGCTGAACTTTAGAATACAAATGACAGTTTCCATTTCAAGGAATGAGAAGGAAGGTGTACAAACCCAGAATCTCTTTCCTTTGTACGTGTTTTTGGCCAGATTAGTTCCTGATGTTGCAGTTCCAGAGGTATTTGTATGCAAATTTTTAAGTTCTTATTTGACGATCCGTGTGTTGCTTAGTGCATCATGTTATGCCTTTGCTAATGACATTTGGCGGTTTAGTTTACGGTTTTATCTACATATATCTGATATGAGTTCTGTCTTTGAATGTATAAACAAGTATTCTGCTACATATCGATTCAGTCGAGCTTGCATGTTAAGCAATTCCACAGGGGCTGATGGGAGCAGTCAACTTCAAGCTAATTTTATTCTGCCTGACATTAATAAGCTAGCATTGGAGGCTAAATCTGGCTCACTTGCCATCTTGTTTGTCAGCTTTGGTATGCATTCGTGAAACTTTGATAATATGGAAGCAGATTTTATGTGGATCTCATTGCAATCTTTGGGCTCATATATTATCCTTGCAGTGGGAGCACAGAATCCATTTCGTGGAATCAATTTATCCAAGGGTCCTGTGGATATGGCTTCTTTTCCTTGTAAGTTAAGCCTTACTTGCTAAGCTTTGCCACATATTCGAATTTTGATTTCATTTTGACATGTTGTTTAACAGATTAAACGTTATTGGCTAACTTAAGTTAGGAGTCATAACTCTGACAAATCTGACATGTTTTTGCAATTTGGATTTCTTCACTGAACTACATAACTTTAAGTTCTACATGACATTGGCACGTAGTACCATAGAGACCATATGTTTAACTGTTTGAGCCTTTTACAACTTTATGGAATTATTGGAGTTAAGCATCTCTGATTTTAAAATTGAACTAGAGATAAACTGGAGATAAAGTTGTTGATACAATTCTGAAATAACTCAGAAATTTTATGCAAGGTGTAAGAAGAAGAAAGACATCTCTTGTCAAGCTCAAATTTTATAATTTAGAACCATAAAGATAAAATCAGATCACCCAGGGGACCAAGTTAAAAGTAAAATACAAACAATACACCAGGGGGACCAAGTCAAAACTTTAGAGTTTTGACATATTTTACCCAACAATAAAAAAAGATAAGACATGATGAGTAAGTTTCATGCCCTTTTCTATTCTCAAGCGATAATAAATGATTTTTCACACCACGATATGTGGAGTGAAAGGTGAAGCATTCTTTTTTACTTGTAATATTGAGACTTATTTTCCAAGTTTATTCTTCTTATACTTACGAGATTGATTATGCAAATCAATATCAATTTTACTTGGCAGCAAATGCTGGAGGATATTGCCTGTGGAGCCAGATACCATTGGAATTACTGTATATCTCTTGGGAAAATTCTCCTAATTTTGGTTTGGGACAGAGAGCTGAGATGATCTCCACTATTGACATGCACTCTTGCTTCTTGAAGGTATGGCATCATCAGATGACTCTTGATTAACTATATGTCTTCTTTCTTGACAAAGAGGAACTGGTTAACAGTGCAGCTAAACCGGACTTGTAGTTGTAAAAAAAAAATCATTGTTCTCTATTTGAATCTCGTATTCATGATTGGACCAAAATAATAGACCTTCTGTCTTCCACTCTCAGTTTGATTTACATGTTCCAATTTCCCTCTTGCAGTTGAGCTGTTTAAATGAGGACAAGTGCCTTATGATTGCAACTCCCTATAATCCAGAAACTGTTGTATGTTATCTTCTCAGTGTTTTCTCCTTTAATTCAATAATTCTGATCTCTCTCTCTCTCTACACACACACACTCTATCCAACATTTCTCTTCTAGGCAACTGTTGCTGATGAATATCTGTTACTTTTGGTTGTTTGGGCTTTCAAAGATCCTTTCCCAGCAACTACAGGTCACCATTTCTGCAGAGGAGTTTGGTGCTAGGGAAAAATCTCTTTATAATACATACATATGTAGTGACATTCCTTCTACATCGTTACCTCATATCATTCGGTAATCATCATCTCTCATAAAGTAATTATGTCTGTTCGCACCATTCTGTTTATTGATTCTCATTCTCTGCTTCCCTTTAATTATTGTTTGTTAGATATTTGTTTGATCATTAACTAAATGCTGTTTCAGCATGGTGGCTCTACGCATTTATGAGGCCAAATTTTGTGTACTGTTTTTTTCATGGTTTATTCCACATTAGTTTCTTCCAGATAGTACCCTCACAGTACAACATATTTGTTTGACTAATCTAAATGTATTTCCTTTTCAAATATGGAGCTTATACTTAGTGTTTGCATCTCAACTCGCATTTTATCAGTTTCCGGTTCAGTTTAAATTGAAGTGGTTAATCAATGGTCTCTTGGTATTTGTCCATAAGAATAGATTCCATGAACATAATTAGGGTATACTCCCAAATAACTTCTTATAATTCATTTTCTTATATTCATGGAGAGGACAAAATCTGTGAGATCTTAAGCTGATTGTTTATGATGCTTTGGCTTTTAAGTCAGGATGTAGATTTATTTTGTGTTTCAGCTCTTGACCATATGCTTAAAAACTGCTTGTTACTTGTCTTGTCCAGGTTAAGGGCAGGAAATGTGATTTTTAATTATAGATACTACAGCAATACATTGCAAAGGACAGAAGGTATTAACAATGTTTTATAATTCTTGGCAACTTCTACTTATCGTATTTTCATTCTGGGACAAGTTTAAGATCTTAAAGTTAAAACTTGAAAAATAGTAATGTTATCCCGTACTTCCATATCCTTGTCAATAAATATAATAATATTTTACAGTTGGACAGTAATATAGTTCCGTTTTTTCGAAGATTTTTTTTTTCTCTTTCCCAAATTCTGTAACTGAGATTTTTTCACTTAAAACATCTTTTGTTCTTTTCACGAAATGCATTCCCTTGCTTGTGAAATAATACTTTGTTCATCTTGCAGTGACTGAAGATTTTTCCTGTCCATTTTGCTTGGTTAGGTGTGCAAGCTTTAAGGTTTGACTTTCTCCCACATTCTGTTTTGTTATTGTTTATTATGAGATATTTTTGTTTTAAAGTGAATTAGTTCTTCACATCCAACAGCTTAACACATTACCATGGTATCAAAGCAAAGTTCCTGTGTTCAATTGTGACTCACTTCCTTCCAAATTTTAAAAAACATCCACATGCCCACTCGTGAGTTTGAAGCCTTGGCCCACACTCAAGGAGGAGTGTTAAAGTGAATTGAATCTTTGAGTCCTAATAGCTTGAGCTTTTAGGATAAGTAGGAATTTAGCAATCTGGAAATGAACCAATAGCTATTGAATTTATGTCGTTTATTTTTAAAAATCAAGAATTTATATCTGATGCTTTGAATTTATATCGCCTATTTATATTTGTTCAATCTTTTTTATAGGGTCTGAGACATCATTTGTGCTCATCACATGATCTCTTCAACTTTGAATTTTGGGTTGGTAATCTTTGAGAATCTTAGTGGGAATTATACTCATTTAAATATGTTTCCGTGCCTACTAAACTGATGGGTATTGATAGGTAACTGAAGAGTATCAAGCTGTAAATGTCTCTGTGAAAATTGATAACTGGAGATCTGAGGTATATATATTTTTATTTTTATTTTACACCTTTTTGCATGACAGAGCAAAGGTAACATGTCTCCATGATCAAGTTCTGCATTAACAACCATATCTCATATCCATTCAATCAAATTTAATATACGTTGTGTATATCAATCACTATCATTACCTGAGGAATTGCACAAATTCCATAAAAGGAAGCTGTCCCACTCGATTAATTTCTCCTAGAATCAGATTTAGGGGAATTCATTATGGTAAATTTTTTCTTATTTCTTTGGAAATACATGTGGAAATAAATAGTAAGATGTTGTTGGCTGCTGAAGATGACAGATGAACCTGCATTCTTTTTTATCATCTTATCAAATGCTGACTGAACAGAATGTCAGTTTTGAGTTAATTTTTACCATATAATTCTCTTCACAAATGGACTTACAAACAAAATACACAAATCTCTTAATTACTAGCTATAGGAATTTAAATATTAACTTTTCTCTTCAGATTGTTGCTGACGGTGTTGATCCTAAGCTACAAGTATTCTTTTCTTGGTAAGTTTTCGCTTATTTATTCGGCCATAGTTGGGCTCGATAAGTTTCTTTTAATCTTCTGTCATTTAGTTGAGATATATGAATGCCTTAAACTGAAACAAGTGCACATACATTGTCCAGTTCAAAGCCACTTAGACGCAGAAGACCCAAGAACCTATATCAAAGTTTAAAGCACGTACATCCTCATGTCTTACAGTCTGACTTGCCTGCAGGACTCTGTGATCTTTCAGACAAGGCTGATGGTACACGTTCTTTTCTCATATTCTCATGAACAATCTCAATTCACTCTCAGCTCAATTATTTTGAAAAGTTTGAAGATGATATAACATTTTGTTGTAGCTCTACTTTTTTTGTTTTTATACAAATTTATATATAAATCATATTTTGGGTGGTAGTGTGTTTGTTTTAAAATCGAAGAGGACTGTAAGACATACAAAAATGACAAAAAAGATAGAATAATCAGGCCTTTTGAACTCTGTAATTCAAACTGTCTTTTTGTGAAGAATTATTTTCTCTTGAATTGTATGGAAAAGACATATCTTAGTACTGAACTGGACATGAATAAGTTACTTGTGTATTAATCCCTTGAAAAATAAGTGCGTGGTGCATCAATTATGGATCAACCAATCCTCTTGCATGTCTTGATCTAGTTGGTTGGATTATTGTTAGGAACTCAAAGTGTTCCTGACATAGTGAATCTGAACATGTCCTGCAACATGAAATTTTCAGCTCCAGACTGCAGATGAGATATCATTGATCTCCTGGAGCCTCCTGGAGACCTATGTAGTAACCTCCTTCAGGTGCCTACAAAGTATCCCTCAAGTACTATTTCTTTTACGAAAAATTCACTTAAAATTAGGCCTCAATAGTTGAGGAATGTTTTTGTTAGATTTTCTTGGGAGTGAAAAGATAAATATTTATTATTTTTTCATGATTTTGGATGTAGATGGAAAAGGTAGGACCAACCAGTTGTTTCATTCTTTCTGGGAATCCAATTAGAAATGACCCTAACAGATGTATTTAACACGTTTGATTAACATTTTATATTATTATATTTTGAGAACACATTGCATTCTAATTTTTTATTTATCCTGATCTTGAAAAGAAGTTTGGAGTATAGTATTCTTTTAAGCAGACTGAACTAATATCTCCTAATGTGCTCCTTTTCCGGATATTGTTGCCAAACACTCAACTTCTTTGCTCAGATGCTCATTCTAGTAAAGGTGATAAGGCTAGAATATCAGGTAGGAATGATATGCGGAATGATATGGTTGGTGCTGTGTCTGCAATTTGTTTCATCCAGCTTTAATGTTGCAGGGGTGTCAAGTTCCATACCACAATCATGTGCTGATCCTGGTTGTGTTCAATCAATATCTGGAAACAATTTTGCACCTCCTGCAATGCTACTGTTTGCAAAGACAAGAAAGTTATCTGTTGAGCGTTCAGACCCTAGAAAGTATGTCTATCTTTCTCTCTCCTATATTCATGAAAAAAGCTGAATAGTTACTTATGTGGAGCTATCTCATCCAAGTAAAATGTTTTGCCTATTTCATCAAAGTCAAATTTATTGCCTAGTTGAACTGTCTAAAGCTGCATGAAGTTTTACCTCGCCATGAGCTACCAGTCTAAGGCTGTGTATGTTAAGATCCATCATCTGTTGCTTGGACACATGGCTACTAATTCCTAATCTATCATGTGAACTTAGTTAACAAAAATTCAGGTAGGGCTGTCCACCCTCCTGAACCTAAACCAGCTGAAGCAACTGAGTTGAACGGACCTGGAATTGGCAGTTTCAACTGGTTTTGCTTTGGTTCGGTTCCTAATTTTCTGAAACCAAAAGGCTGGGTTCAGGCATCAGGTTATGTAGTCTAAAACTCGATAGAACCAACTTGAACGGATGTGTATACATCTGTTTATGTTATGTGAATTATAGAAGGTTATGCTGCTTTTGCATGCGTGGGGCCTTAGTTGATGGATGTTAACTGTTGCTCCCAAGCTGCTCTAATGTTAACTTGTCAAATCTACACACATACGCACACATAAATGAAACAATTCATGTGTTGACATGCTGTGTTTTGCCCTGTCAATCAATCAGCACTGTTCATACTTTTACATTAAATATGTTCACTGTGTTCTCTAAGCAAGTACTATGATATTTTTCATATATCCTTTTGCACGTGGATTATAATGCTTGCATGTTGCTCACATATGAATATTTTTTTCTCTCTACATTTTCAGCTGTGCACTCCTGCGGAAGCGACAGTTCTTTCACTCACATAGAGCCCAGGTGACAATTACTTATGTTATGAATGATTTTTTGTTATCACCGAACACCAATTATCTTTTTTTTTGTTTTGTTTTTGTTTTGGATTGAACTTTCAATATCATTTATAGTGCAATTTCCATTTTTGAAAGCTTTTGTTGAGACTATTATGGTGTGACCAGCCATAAAATTATTTGTTTCCTTAGCACTTGAACTTGTATATCATTGTAATCAGATATCTGTAACTGTTATGGCATGACCATATACTTTTTGTATATAGATCACTTATAACTCATAAAAGATACAGACCTCCAGGTCATTCTTTTTTTTAGGAGGAAAAAAATGCTTAGTATGATACTGGGATAAGAATGCTTAGTATAATGTTGCATGTATAAAGTCTCAACATTCTGTGGAAGAGAAAATGGAACAGCTGTTCAGATGGTTACATCCTGTAGTTCAATTTTCCATGTATGGTATATACCAAACATTAGACTATGTTTTACAATCTTTGAAGTCAAGCGCATTGACTAATCGCTTGCTTGAATAATTAGCAAACCTTGTTGTGAAACTCTAGTCTTAATAGTTATGAGAAATAGTGGTTGGTGGATTAACCATGCTAGCTACAGCTCTTCAGCTGGCCCAAAGGAATCTCTCTTTAAAATTTTAAAATATTAACAGTTGATTCTTTTTGGCCCTTATTTTTAAATGACAATATTTTAATATATGCAGCACTGTATTTTAATTTTTTTTAATTTTGTTATGCTTGAAGCCAATGACATTGGAACAAGTTTTGTCAGATCAGGATAGTGAGGATGAGGTTGATGATGATGTTGCTGATTTTGAAGATCGAAGGGTATAATAACCAAACCTCTCTCTCTCTCTCTCTCTCTCTCTCTCTCTCTCTCTCTCTCTCTCTCTCTCTCTCTCTCTCTCTCTCTCTCTCTCTCTCTCTCTCTCTCTCTCTCTCTCTCTCTCTCTCTCTCTCTCTCTCTCTCTCTCTCTCTCTCTCTCTCTCTCTCTCTCTCTCTCTCTCTCTCTCTCTCTCTCTCTCTCTCTCTCTCTCTCTCTCTCTCTCTCTCTCTCTCTCTCTCTCTCTCTCTCTCTCTCTCTCTCTCTCTCTCTCTCTCTCTCTCTCTCTCTCTCTCTCTCTCTCTCTCTCTCTCTCTCTCTCTCTCTCTCTCTCTCTCTCTCTCTCTCTCTCTCTCTCTCTCTCTCTCTCTCTCTCTCTCTCTCTCTCTCTCTCTCTCTCTCTCTCTCTCTCTCTCTCTCTCTCTCTCTCTCTCTCTCTCTCTCTCTCTCTCTCTCTCTCTCTCTCTCTCTCTCTCTCTCTCTCTCTCTCTCTCTCTCTCTCTCTCTCTCTCTCTCTCTCTCTCTCTTGTGCAATAGCATATTTTGCAATATGTTAGCAGCACAATACATTGACTTGGCACCTTGGTCTTGTGGGATTTTATATTGAAAGCAAATGAATAAGTAATATTTTACTCTCTATTGTAGATGCTTGATGATTTCGTTGATGTGACTAAAGATGAGAAGCAAATGATGCATATGTGGAACTCCTTTGTGAGGAAGCAACAGTAATTTTCTCTCTTCATTTTGCTCATTTTTTATTTTTCCTTCTTTTGCTTTATAAGGTTCTTTATTTTTTTGTTTAGCACCTTGTATACCATCATATTTGATAACATTGCAAGTTAGATCAAGAAATAAGACACATTCATACTAAGTCCATAGGATGAGATCCTAGGGTATTTACCTCTGAAATTATGGTATAATCATGTGCCTTAAAGAAAAGTCTCCTATGGTTTGAGGCATTCCCATTAAGTGCATATAGAGCATCCATCATGAGCCGAGTCTATAAGAACACTGTATTTCAAGGAGTATGGTTGTGGCGCTTGTAGGGATGATGCCCCACTGTATGCTAATTGGCTGAATGCAAGAAAGCGTTGATGCTAATTATGGTCAGGGAAGCTACATGAATCTTTTAAAATTAGCTCCATCTGGAGCCATAAAATTTGCTATCATATTGTATGTCACTAACTTGACTGATGTAATACTAAGTTGAAACCTAGTTTGGAATTGGATTAAAACGTTCATGTGTCTAGTGCATAATTACTAATTAGAATCTAATGCGTTTTAGAGGCTACATTTTAAAACTCAACATATAGCAGACAAGGATGCTGTTGGATATCATGGCACTTTTGGCAGAATTCTTCATTTGCAATAAATATTTCTCAATGATGAGCAAGCTCCAGATACAAAAAATAGGGGACAAGTTCATCTTCTTGTGTGTGGAACTACATTAGTTCTCTCTCGATTTTTTTTCTGAAATATTTTGTTTTAATGATGGCAGGGTGCTGGCCGATGGTCATATTCCTTGGTCGTGTGAGGCATTTTCGAGATTGCACGGACATGACCTTGTCAGAGCTCCGGCCCTGATATGGTAATGGTTGCGCCCATTTGATTGTCAATTGTGGTCATGCATATCACTCCTGGTGAAGTCTGCCTTGATATTCTGGTAGTTAATGTGCATGTCATAAAATGATGACCTAAATAAAGCCCCCACTCATGGATAAAAAAAGTTAAAATTAAAAATTAAAAAGCCCCATGCCTGATTTGGTGACTATCAAACGTAGAAACTCCATTTTTTTTGTTGGTTATTCTTATTTGTTGCTGTTTGTATAGTCTGGCATTTTGCATATTGATATTAGACCTTATCATGGCCCAGCCATGACTATTTAATATGATGGTGGCTGTATATTTTCCGGTAACAAGATCATGACACTTTGGCACATTTCTTTAGACTTAGTTTAAGTATTTAATTACTTTTCTTTCTTTGGCATGAACTTTAAGGACTTGATTTTCAAATATGAACAGTTGAAATGCATAATGAGTGAGAGTCGGTGACATCCTTATATCTGGTTTTTTTATATCTATAAATCGAGTTTGCCCTTGCTCCCTCCCTCACCTATTCAAACGTTTAGTAAAAATAATTGGAAAAACACCTAGTATGCATTGGACTGTTGCACATAATCGATGGATGATTGATGCTTTGAGTATGGCTATGATATACAGCTATGTGGCATGACATGCAAGGAAGATAATTTTTCTCAGTAAAAATGGGCTTATATCTATAGCAGTTAAATGGTGCCTGAGCATGCTTGTGTTAGAAGAAAATGTAATATTTATCATGCTTTGCTTTTGATGAGAATATGTGAATCTCAAATGACAAATCACTTGTCAGGTGTTGGAGATTATTCATGATCAAATTGTGGAATCATGGTCTTCTTGATGCACGCAGCATGAACAACTGTAACATTATTCTTGAACAGTGTCAAAGCCAGGTTTCGGATCCGAAAAGTTGAAAGAGATTATTTTTTTCATTAGATTCAGGCGCCTTCTTACTAATATGCTGATCTCAGTGCCTGCATTTTGTATTATGTGCCTATTTTCATGGTTGGGCTGAAAGCTTTTTCCATGCCCGTTGTCCTGCTGTGATGAGCTCTATGCGATTTTTTCCAAATGAATGCAGAACTGTACTATCCGTCTCTCCTAACCTGAGAAATATATGCAAGTAGAATTATGAGCAACAAAATTTCAATTTGTTATCTGTGATGTAGTGTTCAGACTACTTTTCCTTCATTTTTGTGACTTAATTTGATTATTATTTGAATAAAGCAAACGAAATTGATAATAAATGAGAATAATACTATATACTTTACTGACATATATGTAATAAAATAAAATAAAATTGCATAGTATTAAGAAAAAAGCTCCAATAATGCACGCCACGATAATGGTAATTCGTCCTCTCTCGGCCTGATTAAAAATAAAAAAAAAGGTTATAAAGCACGTTTTAATATGCGTTAGATTGAATTAGGGCAAGCCTCTGGCCAGTAAGTATGTCTTCGAAATTGGTGAGTCCATGGCCTAAAACTAATGTTTATCCATGTTGAAGATTCGTTTTACTCCTTTTGGGATTTGTCACGCCAACAAGCTCTTAAAACTTATCTATAAAAAAGAAGGTAACAAGATTGTGTGAGGCAGCACGCCGGCCGCCTCTCAGACGCAGAGGTGGTGCGGTGATGCCGACGGCTTTTTACTAAACTACGGCTTTCTGAAAATTCACACATCAAATTGATTGCTTAACTTCCAAAAATGATGCACCTCTTCCTTCTTCTATATTAGCTTTTGCTTGCTTTGCATGCCTAAACTCTGCTAAAAAAGATGTCACATTTTTTCTTCTTCTAGCTAGATAAGATGGGCCCACTGAGTGTAGATTATTAAACCTACGTAGTCCTTTTTGCACCAACTATGAAAGCAAATATTTCTGGATTTGTGACAAACAGTAAAAGGAATCATTCAAGTCTCTATCTCTCCACATCATCATCTATATATGTATATATATCAATATAAATATGCATCATGCGTCACGGCCCACCGTATAATCGATTTGGTAGCACACGGCCTTTCAGCCTTTGAAGATGGAAAATGGGCTAAACATCCAGCATTCCATTTAGAGAAGCTAAAGGTACTCGCCAACATTCATTTGTATTTCTAGAGATTTAATTAGCAATTATGTCCACTATTTATATACGTGTTGATATTTTGTTTGTTTTTTTTCCTTGTTTGGTAAAGGGTATGTTACCAACATTTTACCAAAGCTGTAGCGAGATGATTAACGAGTGGGAGAAGTTGGTGTCCAAAGAAGGTTCATGTGAGTTGGATGTGTGGCCTTGTCTTCAAACTTTGTCCGCTGATGTGATTTCTCGGGCTGCATTTGGAAGTAGCTATCAAGAGGGAAGGAAAATATTTCAGCTACTGCGAGAGCAAGAAAAAATTTTCACAACAGCCATCCAAAGTGTTTACATTCCAGGGTCAAGGTAAAATTAAATAATCTTTCATTTAAATTACTTGACATTAAAGCACTTGTACATGTCTTCACAAAACCATTGATCTCGTTGTCTACTTCGTGCAGGTTTCTACCAACCAAGCAGAACAAGAGGATGAAGAAAATATATGAAGAAATAAGAGTGTTGCTCAAGGGCATTATAAATAAAAGAGAAGAGGCAATGAAGTTGGGTGAAGCCAGTAAACATGACTTATTAGGGTGTACTTATGGAGTCCAACTTGAAGGAAATTCGAGAACATGGGAACGACAGAAACACTGGAATGAGTCTTGAAGATGTAATTGAAGAGTGTAAGCTGTTTTACTTGGCTGGACTAGAGACCACTTCTGTGCTGCTTGTTTGGGCAATGGTTTTGCTAAGTCAAAACCAGAATTGGCAAGCTCGTGCAAGAGAAGAGGTCTTGCAACTCTTTGAAAGCAACCCACCAATCTATGATACCCTAAGCCACCTAAAAGTTGTAAGTATCTTTACTAAAAGTTAAAATTAAAATTAAAATTATATTCTCTCGCATAGTTTTAATTAGAAACCTTGACCATATAAAATTTCTCAGGTGACAATGGTTTTCCTTGAAGTTCTTCGATTACACCCAGCAGCCGTTGAGCTTCCACGAACCAGTCGCAAGAAAACACAGCTTGGAAAGTTCTCATTGCCGGCCGGAGTCGATGTCTCCATACACATAATGCTTGCTCACCATGACAAAGAATTGTGGGGTGAGGATGCAGATGAGTTCAAGCCAGAGAGGTTTTCAGAAGGAGTTGCAGAGGCAACAAAGAACCAATTTGCATACTTTCCTTTTGGAGCAGGTCCACGGATTTGCATTGGGCAAAACTTCGCTATGCTGGAAGCAAAATTGGCCTTATCATTGATTTTGCAACACTTCACCTTTGAGCTTTCTCCATCCTGTGCTCATGCTCCTTTGGCATTAATAACCCTTCAACCTCAATATGGTGCTCATATTATTTTAAGTAAACGTTGATTAGTTCTGAATTGTATGTATTAAGGACATCACATGGCTTAGCCAGCCATATTAACCATGTATATTTTATAATAATTCTCGTGACTTGTCTAAAATATATCTGCATTTCTGTCTTAAAAAATCACAGGTGATGCGTCACGTCTTTAATTTCATGCTCACAGACAGCTGAATGCGAACGTCTTTAATTTCATGCTCATAGACAGCTGAATGTCAACAATTAAACTTGATTGAAAACAACATAATCTTCCATGTGCACTTGTCCCATGCAAGCGGGAGCATTTTTGCTTGCCGCATTAACCAAATGTGTATGCTAATGCTCCCGCATTAACCAAATGTGTATGCTCGTCGCCTTTAAAAGATGAAATCTGTCCCATGATACTTTATGTGAGAATAAAAATAAAATAAAAAAAGAGCCCACATCTCGTTTCTCTCTCCGTTTTTCCTTCTTTACCCTTCCTTCTATTTTCTTTTTATTTTCTTTCTTTCCTCCTCTCTCTTCTCTTCTCTTCTCTCTCTCTTAAGCAGAGATACTAAACACAGATCCACTGTATCCTCCTGTAAAAAGCTAATAATAATAACATAAAACAATAGCAATTTTGCTAGAGAGCGAGAGAGAGAAGACCAATTCTCAGCAGGAGACAAGTTCCCAATCTGGGTTTAGTATCTTTGAGAGAGAAGGGGCGGGGAGGAGAAGGAAAGAAATAAAATAAAAAGAAAAAGAAAAAGAAAAGGAAGGGGAAAGTTGCAAAAACGGAGACAGAAACGAGATGTGGGCCCTTTTTAATTTTAATTTTATTCTCACATTAAAGTTAACTAAAGTTAATCATGAGACAAGTGTCATCCTTTAAGGTGGTGGTGTGAGCATACATATTTGTTAATGTGGTAAGCAAAAATGCTCCTTATACAAGTGAGAAAGTTTTTACTATTTAGTCCTGATTGTAAACTATGTGGAAATCTCAATTATACACATGCGACGTGTTATAAGTTAGATGAAATTTAGAACTCTGCAGTCAATAATATTAAATCGATAGATATAAATAAATTCTTAATCTACTGTTATTATAACACGTACATTAATAACACTATATGGCGATATTCCGATTATATTCTTTCATATTATTTATTGTATTCGTTTACGACTGTTTTAACTTTCTAATATTTCAATTTTCTATTAGAAGAAAGAAAAAAAAAACACTGTATGCCTTGCTGATTGTAAACTATGTGGAAATCTCAATTATACACATGTGACGTGTTATAAGTTAGATGAAATTTATAACTCTGCAGTCAATAATATTAAACCGATAGATATAAATAAATTCTTGATCTACTGTTATTATAACTACATTAATAACACTATATGGCGATATTCCGATTATATTCTTTCATATTATTTTTTGTATTCGTTTACGACTGTTTTAACTTTCTAATATTTCAATTTTCTATTAGAAGAAAGAAAAAAAAAACACTGTATGCCTTGGTAAGGAGAGATTCTTCGGTGGCCTCGGTTTTGCTAAACCACGGCTTTCTAAAGCAGTCGCACATCAAACTCCTTACTTCTCTTCCAGAAATGGTCTATCTTTTCATTATCTGTGCACCTCTTGCTACTAGATTTTGCATAGCACAGCTAGAATAAGATGGACCTAGTGGAGATTATCACATGTCCCAACTTCATCCAATGTAAAAGCAAAATATTTGTGGATTGTAAAAAGTAATGACTGAAATCACCCGACTTAAATAACCATTAGTGACACACAATTTCGACATAAACTAGTACATTAAAGTAACGGTCAAATATCATTCACGCATGTATCAACGACTCAATTTAGTAAAAGTTTATTGTGACGTGGCACCATGTAGAACACAACATATAAAGACACATGCATCATGCGTCACGGCCTTGCATAAATTAAAAGATTGCGTCTGGGATATGATTCAGCACTTACTATATAGCCAGGCGGTGAAGGGTTTTGACTGACATGGACAAAAGTTATGCAATTGTATGAACTTTGGAGAGGAGTTCCATAATTAAATCTAACCCATTATTTATATAAAGCCCTGCATCAATTCCTCCTTCCAACAAGTTCTCTTCAGTAGAACCCATCTCTCTCTTTCTCTCACAAATCTCACACACGAATTAATTATACTGATGGAAGCCTCTAGGGCTAGTTGTGTTGCACTAAGTGTTGTTTTGGTTAGCATAGTAATCACATGGGCATGGAGGGTGCTGAATTGGGTGTGGTTGAGGCCAAATAAATTAGAAAGATGCTTGAGAGAGCAAGGCCTCACAGGCAATTCTTACAGGCTTTTGTTCGGAGACACCAAGGAGATCTCAATGATGGTGGAACAAGCACAATCCAAACCCATCAAACTCTCCACTACCCATGATATAGCGCCACGTGTCATCCCATTTTCCCATCAAATTGTGAACACATATGGTATTGCCAAATACTTGTTTAAATTCCTGGCTGTCACCAATTTATATGCATGCGTAATCTTCTATATATGTAAGTTTGTGACTTGGATGGCTTTTTAAAAAAACAAAAAATTTGCAGGTAGGAATTCTTTTGTTTGGATGGGTCCCATACCAAGGGTGACCATCATGAATCCAGAAGATTTGAAAGCTGCCTTCAACAAATCTGATGAATTTCAGAGGGCAATATCAAACCCTATTGTCAAGTCGATATCACAAGGCCTTTCAAGCCTTGAAGGTGAGAAATGGGCTAAACACAGAAAGATTATCAATCCAGCATTCCATTTAGAGAAGCTAAAGGTATTGTATACTCTCGCCAACTTTTCATTTATATTTCTGGAGGTTTTGTGTCCACTATCTTTCATTTATCTTGATTACTTTTGGTGTTTCTGTTTTTATTGCTCCTTGCTTGTTATAGGGTATGTTACCAACATTTTACCAAAGTTGTAGCGAGTTGATTAACAAGTGGGAGAGCTTGGTGTTCAAAGAGGGTTCATGTGAGATGGATTTGTGGCCTTATCTTGAAAATTTAACCAGCGACGTGATTTCTCGAGCTGCATTTGGAAGTAGCTACGAAGAGGGAAGGAAAATATTTCAACTACTCAGAGAGGAAGCAAAATTTTATACAATCGCCGCACGAAGTGTTTACATTCCAGGGTGGAGGTAAGAGACTACATGTAAAAGTACTGAATCTTGATATTCATCATAGAAACACATATCCATACTAATCTTGCATGAAAGAAGTACTTGTACTTCTTCATGTCTTCACAAAACCATTGAAGTGCTGCCTTTTTTGTGTACAGGTTTCTACCAACCAAGCAGAACAAGAGGATGAAGGAAATTCACAAGGAAGTTAGAGGCTTACTGAAGGGTATTATAAATAAAAGAGAAGACGAGATTAAGGCAGGTGAAGCCGCTAAAGGTGACTTATTAGGTATACTTATGGAGTCCAACTTCAAGGAAATTCAGGAACATGGGAACAACAAAAACGCTGGAATGAGTATTGAAGATGTAATTGGAGAGTGTAAGTTGTTTTACTTTGCTGGGCAAGAGACCACTTCTGTGCTGCTTGTTTGGACATTGGTTTTACTAAGCCAAAATCAGGATTGGCAAGCTCGTGCAAGAGAAGAGGCCTTGCAAGTTTTTGGAACCAACATGCCAACCTATGATCAGCTCAGTCACCTAAAAGTTGTAAGTACACAACTTTTAATTTGAAAGTTTTCTATCAATTACGTAAAACAACAAAAATTAATCAGACATTTTAGCTCTTTCAGGCCTAATTGGGATGTGTGGATTTGCTTCTAAACTTTTGAATGTCATCAAACAACTCATTTTGTTGGATTAGTGATCACTTGATGCTTTATGATGCCCCAGGTGACCATGATTTTACTTGAAGTTCTTCGATTATACCCAGCAATTGTTGAGCTCCCACGAACTATTTACAAAGAAACACAGCTTGGAAAGTTCTCATTGCCGGCCGGAGTCGAAGTCTCCTTACACATAATGCTTGCTCACCATGATAAAGAATTGTGGGGTGAGGATGCAAAGGAGTTTAAGCCAGAGAGGTTTTCAGAAGGAGTTTCAAAGGCAACAAAGAACCAGTTTACATACTTTCCTTTCGGAGCTGGTCCACGGATTTGCATTGGACAGAACTTTGCTATGCTGGAAGCTAAATTGGCCTTGTCATTGATTCTACAACACTTTACCTTTGAGCTCTCTCCATCCTATGCTCATGCTCCGTCCGTAACTATAACCCTTCATCCACAATTTGGTGCTCATTTCATTTTACACAAACGTTGATTAGTGCTGAAGTATATCGATTCTTGGCAAAAAGTTTAATGATAAAGACACACCAAAAATAAAGATAGCCATAGTTTGAACCATGTATATTTTCTCACAATTATCGTTACTTGTAGCGAATGCATATGCATGAGATGAGTTTATAAGAAAGAACGAATTTGATTGATGGAAGGTTATGTGTCAGCTTCACTTTGCCACTATATCCGGTCTACTAATAATATGGCTTGCACATTATTAATATTTTAATAGTGAACCTGCAAAGATGACCCATCAGTATAGTAGTTTGGAATTACTCCTCTATAAATTGTTATGGGTTTAAACCCCGTCGGTAAAAAAAAAACATTGAATTCAATATACAAGAAATTATTGTATGATACTGGAATATGTTTCAACACTCGGTTATTATTTTATGTCTTTGTTTCTGACTATTAATTGTCCTACTAAGAAGAAGGGACCACGGCTTTCTAAAGAGGTCACACTCCAGTCCAAACTGGTTCCTTTGCTTCTAGAAACGGTCTTTTCGTTATCTACGCTATTTCTAGAAGGTAGAATAAGATAGGCCTAGTAGATTATTAACCCCATCACCTTTCTGATAATATTGTAGGTAACTACAAGGTTGCGTCAGGGATATGATTTTGGCTATTAGTAGCAGGTCGGTGAAGGGTTTTGATTGGACAAAAGTTTGTGCAATGATTATATGAAGTTCCGTGATAACCTTGCATCATCATATCCTGCCCCTCCAAACAAGTTCTCTTCAGTAGAACAGAATCCATCTCTCTTTCTCTCACAAATCTCACACACAAATTAAATACAGATGGAAGCATCAAGGGCTAGTTGTGTTGCGCTATGTGTTGTTTGGGTGAGCATAGTAATTACATTGGCATGGAGGGTGCTGAATTGGGTGTGGTTGAGGCCAAAGAAACTAGAAAGATGCTTGAGGGAGCAAGGCCTTACAGGCAATTCTTACAGGCTTTTGTTTGGAGACACCAAGGATCTCTCGAAGATGCTGGAACAAACACAATCCAAACCCATCAAACTCTCCACCTCCCATGATATAGCGCCACGAGTCACCCCATTTTTCCATCGAACTGTGAACTCTAATGGTATTCCAAATATTTATTTACATTCACATATCCATGTATATATGTGTGTAATCTTCAGCTTGGATGAGTTAAAACATGAATAAAAATTGCAGGCAAGAATTCTTTTGTTTGGATGGGCCCTATACCAAGAGTTCACATCATGAATCCAGAAGATTTGAAAGATGCCTTCAACAGACATGATGATTTTCATAAGACAGTAAAAAATCCTATCATGAAGTCTCCACCACCGGGCATTGTAGGCATTGAAGGTGAGCAATGGGCTAAACACAGAAAGATTATCAACCCAGCATTCCATTTAGAGAAGCTAAAGGTATCGTAAGCTCTCGCCAACATCCATCTATATTTCTGGAGATTTCATTAACGAAGTAAGAAGTAGAACCCAAAGAAAAAAAGCTATGTTTTATACACATCCACGCACACACACACATATATGTTGAAATTTTTGGTATATTCATTTTTCCTCGTTTGCTATAGGGTATGGTACCAATATTTTACCAAAGTTGTAGCGAGATGATTAACAAATGGGAGAGCTTGGTGTCCAAAGAGAGTTCATGTGAGTTGGATGTGTGGCCTTATCTTGAAAATTTTACCAGCGATGTGATTTCCCGAGCTGCATTTGGAAGTAGCTATGAAGAGGGAAGGAAAATATTTCAACTACTAAGAGAGGAAGCAAAAGTTTATTCGGTAGCTCTACGAAGTGTTTACATTCCAGGATGGAGGTAAAAATGAAAGAAAAGAATAATCATCTGAGACTGGGAAATTTTTTTTGGAGAATAATAGTAAAAGTTCTAAATCTTGATTTTTTTTTTTTGGGTACAGAGGGGGGCTAAATCCCAAATCTTGATATTCAATTCAATGAATATTGCATGAAAAGAGTACGTAGTACTTCTTCACGTCTTCGCGAGGCCATTGAAGTGCTGTTTTTGTGTGCAGGTTTCTACCAACCAAGCAGAACAAGAAGATGAAGGAAATTCACAATGAAATTAGAGGCTTGCTTAAGGGCATTATAAATAAAAGGGAAGAGGCGATGAAGGCAGGGGAAGCCACTAAAGATGACTTACTAGGAATACTTATGGAGTCCAACTTCAGGGAAATTCAGGAACATGGGAACAACAAAAATGCTGGAATGAGTATTGAAGATGTAATTGGAGAGTGTAAGTTGTTTTACTTTGCTGGGCAAGAGACCACTTCGGTGTTGCTTGTTTGGACAATGATTTTACTAAGCCAAAATCAGGATTGGCAAGCTCGTGCAAGAGAAGAGGTCTTGCAAGTCTTTGGAAGCAACATCCCAACCTATGAAGAGCTAAGTCACCTAAAAGTTGTAAGTGTGGATTTGCTTCTCTAAACTTTTGAATTTCATTAAACAACTTTCATCTCATTTTGTTGGATTATAGTCTCACTTGATGCTTTATGATGCCCCAGGTGACCATGATTTTACTTGAAGTTCTTCGATTATACCCATCAGTCGTTGCGCTTCCTCGAACCACTCACAAGAAAACACAGCTTGGAAAATTATCATTACCAGCTGGAGTGGAAGTCTCCTTGCCCATACTGCTTGTTCACCATGACAAAGAGTTGTGGGGTGAGGATGCAAATGAGTTCAAGCCAGAGAGGTTTTCAGAGGGAGTTTCAAAGGCAACAAAGAACAAATTTACATACTTACCTTTCGGAGGGGGTCCAAGGATTTGCATTGGACAAAACTTTGCTATGATGGAAGCTAAATTGGCCTTGTCATTGATTTTACAACACTTTACCTTCGAGCTTTCTCCACTATATGCTCATGCTCCATCCGTAACTATAACCCTTCAACCCCAATATGGTGCTCATATTATTTTACATAAACGTTGATTAGTGCTGAATTATATCTATAATTAATGTTAATGATAAAGACACATCAAGCTAGCTATCTATGGTTTGAACCGTAATTTTCTTTACATATTGTGTCGTTTATCCTTATTTGATAATTGGAAGAGTCATTGTACTACCCTTGTTGTTAATTTTTTAATTATTTTGGTTTATGGCCGTTTTTGCTTTCTAATGTTTTAATTTTGATTTCACAATTTCTAACAAAACCTTACTATCTTTCCAAACTACCTCCTAAATACACACCCAGCCTGATTCAGAGAATTCATTTTGGGCTATCATTTGTGTTACCTGTTGTTCTACTTGTTACCACACCTCTTGGTAACATACACTCTCCAACACAGGGTTATTATTTTATGTCTTTGTTTCTGACTCTATTAATGTTTCAATTTCCTACTAAGAAGAAAGGGACCACGGCTTTCTAAAGAGGTCACACTCCAAACTCGTTCCTTTTTCTTCTAGAAATGGTCTTTTCGTTATCTACGCCACCAAATATGCCACGCTATTTCTGGAAGGTAGAATAAGATAGGCCTAGTAGTGACTAGTTAGTGGAGATTTGTCGGATGCGCCAACTTGATCCAATATGAAATCAATTTATTTTTGAATTGTGAAAAAGTAATGACAGAGATCACTCAACGCTCTCACAGGATCATCATCATATCAATAAAATGAGGTATGTTACAGTCAGTTCCACTTAATTTTCGACCTAAATCATAATCAACGGTAAGAATTATCTATATACACATAAACGTTGATTAGTGCTGAAGTATATCGATTGTTGGCAAAAAGTTTAATGATAAAGACACACCAAATAAAGATAGCCATAGTTTGAGCCATGTATATTTTCTCATAATTATTAAGTTTAGAGAGACAAAGAATATGGGAAAGTATTTGATATTCCTTGAATGAATATTTACAGTAATACATAGCCATTATATATGGCGATAAGGGAGAGCTATTGTGAAACCCCGTAATTTTATATATATATATATATATATTATATTTCAGGAAATTAAATATTTATATCTTATTTTATTACATATATTATTCTATTAAGATAAATATCTTATTCTATTTTTTTTTTATACATATATCTTATTATATATATGTGTGTATTACATAAATATCCTACACTATATATATATATTGATATGCTTAGTCATGGTTAGTGTTGTACGTGTCAAAGAAAAACAATGCTTAGTAAACATAGCTAGAATATAACTTGAATGGTAAGTCTTAGTATGTTCTTATCTATTAATTGTTAACTTGGACGGTAAGTCTTAGTAAACCGCCAAATACCATCCAATAAGAAGGAAGTCACTGCCGACATATTCCTATATATATATATAGGACACTTTGTGCATAGAAAATGAACACACAGAGAGAGAGAGAGAAGTGATGATATTCTCGAAGCTTGGTTTGAGTGCTAGTATTTGAAGATAGGTAGATGGGTTGTCTTGCCAATTTATTTAAAGGGTTCTCATTAGCGAGGTGAGTGGTTTATGTAATGTGTTCTAAAAGTTCTTATTTTGTGATAAAAATATGAAAACCATGAATTATCGTGGATTTATTCTATTTACAAATATCTCTCTATTTCAAGTCAAGCATGTCTAATTTGGTGCAATGTTTCACACTATATATATATTGACTGGAATATTTGTGAAGTATGTATTATTTATGGAACATGAGAACTTCAATGTTGGGGTATCCGAGGGATAGATGTACCACACGGGGACATAGGGCAGTAAGGCCAATAGGAGTCACGTGGTTGGTTACATGCTATGAAGGATAACCGAAATATGAAGGGATGAAGTGATATGATCTGGATTGGTGTATCTTTTCATGATATATATTTTCTAGAGTGTGTAAAATGGCATTGCTTGACTGGCATATTACATAATCTACTCACTGAGCGGTGGTTGCTCATCCCTCACTCTGTTTAATTTTTCAGATGAATTAGTGGGCAAGACAAGGACTAAACCAGTTGAGGATGATTAGATGAGAGTAATAGAGCTTTATTTATTAATTGTAAAGTTGTAAGATTTTGGGAGCTATTTTTATAAGAAAAGTTTATTTTATGTTTCGGATCTCTTTTAATTTTATTTTACTTTTTATTTTTCTCACGCACCGGGCGCGGGATTTCCACTGACCCCCGGGTCCGGAGCGTGACAACTATTACAGGAAAGAAATAATGTACAATATTCCTATGCTATAATTAGGGAATATACAACTAATCAATGGGATTTTGTCTAACACTCCCCCTCAAGTTGGCGAGTGAATGTCATGAAGTCCCAACTTGCTACTTAAGTGATGAAATTGTTCATTTCCCAATGGTTTGGTGAAGATGTCCGCAAGTTGAGAGCGTGATGGTACATAGGATGGTGTAATAATGCCAGCTTGTAATTTTTCTCGCACAATGTGACAATCAATCTCAATATGTTTCGTCCGTTCATGAAAAACATGATTTTTGGCTATGTGAATAGCCGCTTGGTTGTCACAAAATAAATCTGCCGGTTGAGTTTGTGGAACCTTGAGATCTTGCAAAATATATAGCATCCATGTAATTTCCAAACATGTTGCAGCCATAGCTCGATATCCTGCTTCAGCGGAAGAACGGGCCACATTGGCTTGTTTCTTTCACTTCCAGGAAATTAAAGAGTTTCCTAAGAAGACACAAAATCATGAAACAGATCGCCGAGTTGTCATACACCGTGCCCAATCTGAGTCGCAATAAGCTTTTAAAATGAGATCGTTAAAGGAAGGAAAAAATAATCCTTGACCAGGATTGCCTTTAATGAACCGTAAAACTCTCAAAGCAGCTTCCCAATGAGGTGTATGAGGATTCTGCATAAATTGACTCAGGATTTGCACAGAGTATACTATATCAGGCCTTGTCACTGTGAGGTAAATTAATCTCCCAACCAATCTCCTATATTTGGTGGGATCATGTAACAACTCGCCATCTTCAGGATTTAATTTTAAATGCTCTTCCATTGGGAAAGAATTAGGACAAGATCCCAATAATCCTGCATCCTTCAAAATATCTAAAGCATATTTTCGTTGTGAAACAAAAATTCCTTTTCGGCACCGAGAGACTTCAATGCCAAGAAAATACTTTAGATTTCCAAGATCTTTGATGCGGAATTGTTGCAGGAGAGTATCTTTGAGGGACTTAATGGCGTGTTCCTTATTGCCTGTTACAATAATGTCATCTACATAAATGAGCACTGCAGTAAAGGAGTTGCCTTCATGTTTCGTAAATAAGGAATAATCGGCCTTTGATTGAATGAAACCTGCCTGTTGGATAGCATGAGAGAATTTCGCAAACCAATTGCGGGAAGCTTGCTTTAAACCATACAAGGACTTGTTGAGCCGACATACCATATTCTCCCCCTGTCGGCGAAGACCAATGGGAACATCCATGTAGACGACCTCATCAAGATCACCATGAAGAAAGGCATTTTGAACATCAACTGGATGGAGAGGAACCAATTGCGAGAAGCAGCAATTGCTAAAAGACACCGCACAGTAGTAAGTTTGGCGGTGGGAGAAAAAGTCTCCTGATAATCAATCCCTTCAAGCTGGGTGTAGCCCTTAGCAACAAGACGGGCTTTGTAGCGTTCGACAGAACCGTCAGAATGGTATTTTATCTTGTAGACCCATTTGCAACCAATAGGCTTATGACCGGTGGATAAAGGAACGAGAGTCCAAGTATCGTTATGCATGAGGGCATCAAGCTCAGCTTGCATAGTGTTGGCGCTAAATCTTGAATAGATAGAGATGAGTGCAACTTACAAGTGGGATGGACGATCAAGAGATCGATTGGGTGTTGGATGCCGATTCTTCCTGTCCTTGGATGCTGATCCTGAATAGAAGATAAGCGAAGCTCGTAAAGTCTATGGAACCGGTGTGGAACCAGCCTAAGACCCTCCGATGCTCGAGTAAGATTGTTTTTAAGAGCTCTTGCTGTTGACTATATAGTAGTATAAAAGTCAAGCTGAAAAGTCTTACCCCTGTATTGTAGTGGGAGGGGCATACTTATAGAGGGCATTTAGTATGCTTGTGGTGTTCATTTCCGATGTGGGACTCGTGGGAGGGCCCTGTGAGGTTGACACGAGTCCTTAGATATTTCAGGCGGATGCTTCGAGGTTGATTCTGCAGAATCGGTAGGGGATACCGATTGTAGGCTGTGTTGGGCCCTGTAATGATCTTTTGCTGCTTTGAGACAATATCATCAGTAGCCTATGCCGATTGTCCGAGGCCTTGGGTGCTTGGGCGAGTTTATGAGATCCACGTGTCGTTGTACGAGTGGAGGGTCAGATATGGTACAAACACATAGCATCCCTCCATTTGGAATCTTGGACTGCCTGATTATAGTTAGTGGGGTCATGAAGACCAGAAATATTAGCAAGAAAAGAAAAATGGGAAGGAGAAATACGAGAATAAGATAAAAAAATTAGAGAGAGGGTGCCTTGTACCTCATTTAGAACTAGACAACGGAGTCAATGATTGATGGGGTCCACGATGAGCAAAGTTCATGTAGTAATCTATCTGCCACGCAGGTTGGGTATGGGGGTGGGTCGATTGGCCGGGGGGTGGAGGTGTGGGAATGGGAGGAGCTATAGGTTCAATAGGTGGGACCAAGGGAGGATCAGAGTGGGAAACTGGGGAGGTAGGTAAGGGAGTTGGTGGAGGGGGCACGATGGGGGAAGTGGGTAGATCGGTGGTGCCGGAGGTAGGAGAAATGGCAGGGGGGATGCTGGGTAAGGTGGAGAGTGGAGTGGAAAAGTCAACGGAGGGGTCATAAAATGGTGCGAGAGGGAGATGAGGTGAAGTGGGCATGGGCTCCAATGGAAAAGTTGGAGGAAAAATTGCGGTAGGGTCAGAAGAGGTGGCAGGTTTAAAAGGAAAAGTAGTTTCATGGAATCGAACATCCCTACTAACAAAAAATTGCCCAGAATCGAAATCAAATAATTTGTAACCCTTTTGCCCACAAGGATACCCAACAAAAATACATCGACGAGCACGTGGAGCAAATTTGGAAATGGGATGGACTGTAGTAGCATAACACAAACAACCAAAAGTACGAAGATGATCATATGAGGGTGCGTGAGTATATAAACGTTCAAAAGGTGTGAGGTTAGACAGAAGTGGGGTAGGCAAACGGTTAATTAAATAGACGACAGTTAACACACACTCACCCCAAAAGCGCATAGGTACATTAGATTGAAAAAGTAAAGCATGAGCAACTTGTAAAATGTGGCGATGCTTTCGTTCAACAACGCCATTCTGTTGTGGGGTGTAAACACAAGAACGTTGAAATTCAACATCGTGAGTAATAAAAAAAGAACGCAATGAAAGAAATTCAGCACCATTATCACTGCGAATGATTTTAATGTGGGAATTAAATTGAGTGGAAATAAAATTAAAAAATGACATAAGCAACTGGGGAGCATCAAATTTATGATTCATAAGAAATAACCATGTGCAATGAGAAAAAACATCAACTATGGTTAAAAAATAGCATGCACCCGAATATGTGGGGTGTTTGTGGGGTCCCCAAATATCACAATGTATTAAGTGAAAAGGAAATTTAGAAGAAATAATACTAGATGGAAAAGGAAAACGAGTCTATTTTGCTAAGGGACAAATGTCACAATTATTGTCAAATGATGGATGAATAGAGGAACCAGACTTAGACACTAGACGCAGACAAGCAGGAGAGGGATGGCCAAGGCGGTGGTGCCAAATGGTACTGGAAGTGGTGGTGTGACAGACAGCAGAGGACTTGCGAACTGGTGACATGAAGTAGAGGCCACCATTTTGCTTACCCCATCCAATCATTTTCCCCGTAGCCAAGTCCTGCAAAACACAAAAATCAGGAAACAAGATCTCACAGCAATGCAAAGATTGAGTGATTTTACTGGCAGATAAAAGATTTAAGCGAAAGGAAGGCACATGAAGAACATCTTTTAAAATAATATCTTTATTAAAAAGTATCGTGCCAGTAGAATCAATGGGGATGGAAGAACTAGTAGGTAAATGAACAGAAGGTATGGTAGAAGGATGTGACTGAACAAATAAAGAGGAGTATGAAGTAATATGGTATGTAGCACCACTATCTAAAATCCAACAGTCCGAAAAAATTGAATGAACAGAGGGATGGTTATACAGACCTGCTGCATTTGCATATGCATCAATATTACCCTTAGGCAAGTGAGCCATATTGGCCATGGCAGTGGTCAACTAATTATATTGCTCGTTGGAAAGTCCTGGAAGAATGGCCTGAAAAGGATGGCTGTCAGAGGTGTTGATGGACCCAGGGGAAGATAAAATAGGAGTGGAGCCGTGAGGATTGTAGCCATTGGTGGACTGGGACCCAGCGACATTTGCTGCTGCATTTGCTGTTGCTTGAATGGCATGGAAAGCATGGTGTGAGGGCTGGTCCATGTGTTGTCCTTGTCTATGACTATTGCCTTTGTTTGGTTGGCGAGCTTTGGACTTGAAATTGGGGTCATGGTGTGGGTGTCTAGGTGGGTATCCATGGAGTTTAGGACATGTCTCAATTTTATGCGTGTCCTTCTTGCAATATCTACAAAATAATCCCTCACTGTTGGAATTAGAGGAAGAATGAGAAAACGAGTTACCGGAAAATTTGTTGTTGGAATTCTTGAAATTTCATGCAATTGAAAAATTTTCAGCAATTGAATTGTTTCCAATTTCTCGTTGTTTCTCCTTTTGAGTGACAAAATTGTATACTTCCTGCACATTCGGAAGAGACTTCATAAGGAGGAGTTGTCCTCGGACATCATTATAGGAGTCATTAAGTCCCATGAGAAACTGCATTAACCGATCTTGCTCCTTTTGTTTTTTTATGGCTTGGACTTCTGTGTGTTTACTAGTTGGAGGAGGACGGTAAACTGAAAGCTCATCCCAATAAGATTTTATTTTAGTGAAGTAAGCAGCGATGGTAGATGTACCTTGCGTATGTGAAGTAATTGCCTTCTGGATTTGATAGATTCTGGGTGCGTTACCTTGAGCGAAACGCTCACGAAAATCTTCCCACACTTTGTGGGCTATTGATGCAAAGACAACGCTAAATGCAAGATCGGGTGCTACAGAATGCACGAGCCATGAAAGAATCATATTGTTACAACGCTCCCACAACTCATATTCATCGGGCTGCTTGGTTGATGATGGAGCCTCGAATTTGCCGTTGATGAAGCCAAGTTTGTTTTTGGCAGAGAGAGCCATCTATATAGATCGACTCCAAGTAGCATAGTTTTCACCGTTGAGCAATTCGGTGACTAATGATTGATTGGGATTTTCTCCATGATGAATGTAATAGCGACTGTTGGTATCTGAAGAGGTTGAAGAATTTGGAGTTCCCATGGAGATGTTGAAAAGATGAAATTTTGATTAATGGGTTGTATGACGGCTATGGAGGATGAAAAGCTTCAAGAGCTAGGGTTGCTCTGATACCATATAAAGTTTAGAGAGACAAAGAATATGGGAAAGTATTTGATATTCTTTGAATGAATATTTACTGTAATACATAGCCATTATATGGCGATAAGGGAGAGCTATTACAGGAAAGAAATAATGTACAATATTCCTATGCTATAATTAGGGAATATACAACTAATCAATGGGATTTTGTCTAACAATAATTATCGTTACTTGTAGCGAATGCATATGCATGAGATGAGTTTATAAGAAAGAAAGAATTTCATTGATGGAAGGTTATGTGTCAGCTTCACTTTGCCACTATATTCGATCTACTAATAATGGCTTGCACATTATTAATATTTAGGGTTATTTGTTGCAATGGTCCCTCAATTATACCCGAAGTTACATTTTGGTCACTCAACTCAAATATTAGTTGCAGAGGTCACTCAAGTAGGTGTTTTGTTGCACCATTAGTCCATTTGTCAAACTCTGTTAAATTGTCTGTCAAAAATGAGGGTAAATTCGGAAATTCAAAAATTCGGAAATTCATCCACAACCCCCCACTTCCTCCATTGCCGCAACCCACGCCTTCCTCCTCCAATCCCTCCCAACCCCAATCCCTATCTCTCTGTCAAACTGGGCACCCATCCCTAGCCTGTATTCCTCAAAAACTCCATACCCAATTCTCACCCTCCCATCCCTTCCCCACCTACCCTTCTTCCCACAAAAACTGCATATCGATATGTGCAGTAAAAGCCTTCGACACTTCCAGACCCAATTCTCACTCTCCCGACGACTCTCGCTTTGCACCAAAACAAACGCTTGCAAGCCAAGGTAGCGTTTCACCACTTCCCGTTCGTTTGGTTAGAGAGAAAAGAAGAGAAAATCAAAGATGCGAAAGTTCTATCCATGGCCCGTCTTCTTCAAGCGTGAGTGGAACTGAAATTGGCCTTTCCTGGTCGGTTTCACCATCACGGGCACTCTCATCACCAAGTTTTCTCTCGGTCTCACTGGTACTCTAGCCCCCCCCCTCTACCTCTCTCTCTCGTACTCTAGCCCCCCCCCTCTCTCTCTCTCTCTCTCTCTCTCTCTCTCTCTCTCTGTGATTATGTACACATATTTACATACGGCTCATTGTATTTGGATTAACTTTTCCTTTTTCTGCCCAGATTTTGGTACAAGGAAGGAGAAGCAAGGATTGTGGAGGAAGGGGAGGGTTGTGGATGAATTTCCGAATTTACCCTCACTTTTGACAGAGAATTTAACAGAGTTTGACGGAAGGACTAATGGTGCAACACAA